CCACACAGATCAGCAAGAGTGAGTGGTGTGTGTGTGTGTGTGTGTGTGTGTGTGTGTGTGTGTGTGTGTGTGTGTGTGTGTGTGTGTGTGTCCTCCGCTCAGTGCTGGTGTTCTCCACACAGATCAGCAGAGTGAGTGGCGCTGCTGTGTGTGTGTGTGTGTGTGTGTGTGTGTGTGTGTGTGTGTGTGTGTGTGTGTGTGTGTGTGTGTGTGTCCTCCGCTCAGTGCTGGTGTTCTCCACACAGATCAGCAGAGTGAGTGGCGCTGCTGTGTCCACCAGGGGGCGCTACATGTCCTCGGAGGAGAAGAGCAAAGCCCTGCCCAGGTGAGACGCTTCACACATGCACATCCAGATCAGGTCGAGCTCAGACGTGTTCTGATGATGTTTATATGCAAACACTGGGAATCGGATCGCACGATTGGAGGGTTCGCTTAAAGTGCTTGAATTTGACTTTCTGAAATAAAGTCCTGGAAACAGCCATATTTATGAAAAGGGGGGGGGGTCAGTTAGAATAAGGAAAGCGATATATTTGTCATATTATCCTTCAATGGCAATGCAATGCTGCACTTTATTTGTACCATTTTCTTTTTATTAGTTTATATATTATAGTTATTTTTTTTAATTTGAAAGATAATAAAGTGAGATCTCGGATTGTAGTCCTTGAAAACCAAAAAAGTAGTGCTTGAAAAGTCCTGGAATTGCAGTTTACAGTCTCTGTACGAACCCTGCGATTGGATTGCAATAAATATTCAGTAATTACTGTAACTAATGCGTGTGTGTTGATGTTTCCACAGTGACCGTCCGCTGTATCTGCATGTGCAGGGCCAGACCCGAGACCTAGTGGACAGTGAGTGACAACACTGATGGAGGACTTTCCTCACGTGTGTGTGTGTGTGTAACATCATTCTGTGTGTGTGTGTAGAGGCCGTTAACAGGATTAAGGAGATCATCACTAACGGTGTAGTGAAGGCCGCCACCAACTCGACCTACAGCGGAGCGACGGTCACTGTGTACCAGCAGCCCGGATCCACCACTTTACCCACAATCCCCTCTGCTGCACACAAACCTCACTATACAGGCGGAGTGAGTACACAGCGTTCAGTACTTCTCTTAATAACAGCTCCAATCATACAATGGTTCTCAAGAGTGAGATTTTGCTAATTATTACTTGATGTAATTCACATGAGCGCGAGGACAGAGTTGTGTGAGAATGAATAACGGTGGAAGATGAGAACGTGTTTCAGGATCTGCTGTCAGCAGCGCTAGTCTTAGTGTCTTCCTCATTCAACACACAGGATTGAGACTAACCGTGTGTGTGTGTGTGTGTGCGCAGATGCACTATGTGCAGGATAAGGTGTTCGTGGGCCTGGACCAGGCGCTGCACGGCTTCAGTGTGAAGGAGTGTGTGGAGGGACCGGGCTGCTCGTATCTTCAGCACATTCAGGCAGAGACCGGAGCCAAAGTGTTCCTGCGGGGGAAAGGGTCCGGGTGCCTGGAGCCGGCGTCAGGGCGAGAGGCGTTCGAGCCCATGTACATATACATCAGGTGTGTACAGATCTCTCACACACACACACACACACACACCTGGAGCCGGCGTCAGGGCGAGAGGCGTTCGAGCCCATGTACATATACATCAGGTGTGTACAGATCTCTCACACACACACACACACACACACACCTGGAGCCGGCGTCAGGGCGAGAGGCGTTCGAGCCCATGTACATATACATCAGGTGTGTACAGATCTCTCACACACACACACACACACACACCTGGAGCCGGCGTCAGGGCGAGAGGCGTTCGAGCCCATGTACATATACATCAGGTGTGTACAGATCTCTCACACACACACACACACACACACCTGGAGCCGGCGTCAGGGCGAGAGGCGTTCGAGCCCATGTACATATACATCAGGTGTGTACAGATCTCTCACACACACACACACACACACACCTGGAGCCGGCGTCAGGGCGAGAGGCGTTCGAGCCCATGTACATATACATCAGGTGTGTACAGATCTCTCACACACACACACACACACACACCTGGAGCCGGCGTCAGGGCGAGAGGCGTTCGAGCCCATGTACATATACATCAGGTGTGTACAGATCTCTCACACACACACACACACACACACCTGGAGCCGGCGTCAGGGCGAGAGGCGTTCGAGCCCATGTACATATACATCAGGTGTGTACAGATCTCTCACACACACACACACACACACACCTGGAGCCGGCGTCAGGGCGAGAGGCGTTCGAGCCCATGTACATATACATCAGGTGTGTACAGATCTCTCACACACACACACACACCTGGAGCCGGCGTCAGGGCGAGAGGCGTTCGAGCCCATGTACATATACATCAGGTGTGTACAGATCTCTCACACACACACACACACACACACCTGGAGCCGGCGTCAGGGCGAGAGGCGTTCGAGCCCATGTACATATACATCAGGTGTGTACAGATCTCTCACACACACACACACACACACACCTGGAGCCGGCGTCAGGGCGAGAGGCGTTCGAGCCCATGTACATATACATCAGGTGTGTACAGATCTCTCTCACACACACACACACCTGGAGCCGGCGTCAGGGCGAGAGGCGTTCGAGCCCATGTACATATACATCAGGTGTGTACAGATCTCTCACACACACACACACACACACACCTGGAGCCGGCGTCAGGGCGAGAGGCGTTCGAGCCCATGTACATATACATCAGGTGTGTACAGATCTCTCACACACACACACACACACACACCTGGAGCCGGCGTCAGGGCGAGAGGCGTTCGAGCCCATGTACATATACATCAGGTGTGTACAGATCTCTCACACACACACACACACACACACCTGGAGCCGGCGTCAGGGCGAGAGGCGTTCGAGCCCATGTACATATACATCAGGTGTGTACAGATCTCTCACACACACACACACACCTGGAGCCGGCGTCAGGGCGAGAGGCGTTCGAGCCCATGTACATATACATCAGGTGTGTACAGATCTCTCACACACACACACACACACACACCTGGAGCCGGCGTCAGGGCGAGAGGCGTTCGAGCCCATGTACATATACATCAGGTGTGTACAGATCTCTCACACACACACACACACACACACCTGGAGCCGGCGTCAGGGCGAGAGGCGTTCGAGCCCATGTACATATACATCAGGTGTGTACAGATCTCTCTCACACACACACACACCTGGAGCCGGCGTCAGGGCGAGAGGCGTTCGAGCCCATGTACATATACATCAGGTGTGTACAGATCTCTCACACACACACACACACACACACCTGGAGCCGGCGTCAGGGCGAGAGGCGTTCGAGCCCATGTACATATACATCAGGTGTGTACAGATCTCTCACACACACACACACACACACACCTGGAGCCGGCGTCAGGGCGAGAGGCGTTCGAGCCCATGTACATATACATCAGGTGTGTACAGATCTCTCACACACACACACACACACACACCTGGAGCCGGCGTCAGGGCGAGAGGCGTTCGAGCCCATGTACATATACATCAGGTGTGTACAGATCTCTCACACACACACACACACACACACCTGGAGCCGGCGTCAGGGCGAGAGGCGTTCGAGCCCATGTACATATACATCAGGTGTGTACAGATCTCACACACACACACACACCTGGAGCCGCCGAGAGGCGTTCGAGCCCATGTACATTAGAGGTCGACCGATAGTGGATTTTACCGATACCGATATCTAGGTTTGACCGTACATGCCGATAACCGATAATTCAACCGATATTTTTTTTAATGGATACTGGATTAAAAACAAACATCATACTCACAATAAAACAGTGCTGAACTGAAATGTGCTCAATTAAATAAATAAATATGAATATATTAACTTTATACAGAAAATAATTTAAACATTAAAATATTACAGGTTTCGTTAGCTATAACCTAGAAACATACGTACATTTCATAGGTAACACTTTGCAAGTCCCATTTGTAAACAAGAATGTATTAACTAGCTTTCATGAACTATATGCATAATGTAATATACCTTTTTACTGCATGTATTAATATGAGCAATACAATTGTACCTTTATCATTCATGTTAGTTCATTCACAGTACATTAACTAAGGTAATAAAAGATAAAATAAGAATTAAAACTCAATTTCAAATGCATTAGTAAATGTTGAAATTAACAAACTACCGTAACAATGAATAATTCTTCTACAACTTGTATTAACCTTATTTAATGCTAAAAATGGAATGTTATTGTAAAGTGTTACCATTTCATATGATTCCAAAGAGTCGTGCTTAAAGATGGCCATTCAAATGTAATAAAGACCTGTAGTATGTATGCGTAATATAGCCTATAGTCTCTCACTTTATTTGCTTCTATATTTTAGAACACTTGATGATTATCTAATCAAAATAACAAGATCTATTGTAGTGATTAAAAAGATCTCAAATCGAACGCGTTTCTGATTAGTTTCTGTCGGCTGCATGAACATATCAATGTTGAGAAAGCAATCACGTCACTAGTTTTAAATATGCAACTTCGTCGGCTAATGAACGCATAAAGGTGACCAGCCGGATAAAAATAATGCAAATAGATGGTAACAATTGCGCCATAAAACATTTGGGTCAGGTCTGCGTGTGTTTTTGTCACATGCATTAACGGTTGACTGAGGTAATGTTAGAGTCCTCACAGCCTCGACGGCAAACTACTGTTCTTCCTCTGCTGATGCAGCATCTAGTCAACAAATGAATTAATTTATAATGATATGGCAATGTGTAGCTACTTTAGTGTTATGTATTCATACCGTTTTGCTGTCGGTGCAGGGGCGATTCTAGGATTTTTTCAACTGGGGGGCACAAGAGGGGCCACAATTATTACAGAGGGGCCATTCTTATGTTGTGTATTTATGTAGAACTGTAGATATCCAAATCATTTCAAGTTCAGCAAGCTTTAAAATCAGCAATAAACAGTGATACCCTATTATCTTTTAATAGCAGTTATTCACTGCTCAAAATCAAAACAATAAAATGCAATTTATATTAACTTTTCACTTTACAAAAGTGAAACAAAAACTGTAATAAATAAAATAATCCAATGTATTAGTGTACAACTCACAAATAATAATAGAACAGCCTTATTTATATAAATGCATAATTATATTAATCATTCATATAATAAATACACAATTAATGAATTCATATAACTGTAATAAAATTGTAATAAATCTTTTTTAAATCCTTGATTATGCGGCGATGGAATATGCAGGATATTTATGCAATTTTATGTGATGAAATTGCGGGAACTTGCAAAAACTGCGGTTTGATGAAAAAGAGAGAAAAAGTGATTCCCCAACACCCTGTTCTCACTAGGCTACTATCTTAATGTAAAGAGCTATTTCTTATTACTTCCTATGATAAGCAAGCATAACTACATCACAGAAAGTGCTGGAATATTTCATTTTGTTTTATTTCAGACCTTAAAAACACATGGCTCAAACTTACAAAACATTGATGAGTCAAACAAGTTCTGTAGCTTTACAAAAGGAATATGCTACAACTTCTGTAAAAATGAATAAATAAAATATGAAAAAATGTTTCCTGTTTTACAGCTTTTCAATGATGTTCATGTCGCGTAATTACGTCATTTCATAACATTCCCATGGCAACAGGGGGAAATGGCTGCTCTTGTGTGAAGTAAACGCAACATTTTTTAACTTTCTGCTAAGATATATGTGACTTTCTTTTTTGCAACAAAAATGCGGGGATTATGAAATCATACAAGCCCCGCATATTTTGCGTAGAAATCGGCAATTTATATGGCAAAAGTGCGGCGTATTTGAAAAAATGCCCCCGCATAAATGACTTTGGCTGATTATGCATTGAATCATGCGATCGCATAATCGCGTTTTTCTGGAGGGACTGAAAGGTGATGTTCATAATAATAAATTCTAGATGGAATAGCAATTGGCATTTTACAGCACCCTAGTGCCAATTTTGGGAACATGCCATGATAGTTTACAGCAACCTATTTTTGTGAAATCATACTCGAAATAAAAAAATATTGCAGGACTTGGGACTTTCAGACAACTGTGAACATCTATACTTTATTTTTATGAAATAAAGATATTTTATGATATTTACAATATTTCAGTTAAACTGCACTTGAACAATAACTTTTATCTTACTTCTTAACAGTTGGACAAAACAAAGTGTTCAATGAGTAGTATACAGATTACATCTAGCCTACAGTAATTTTATACAACAGACATTTTATAAAAAATATATCAATAAAACCTAAATCAATGTATTCGGTATTGGACATCAATTTAACATTGACATTAGATGTTGAATTTACATTGAATTTTGGTCACCCGACGTCGCAACTAAAATTTAACCAAATATCAACGTCTTATGACATTGTGTGCCTGCTGGGAATAATCTGTTATGTCTCATTTAACAGACGCTTTTATCCAAAGCAACAAGTAGGAGAGCATTTAACACACACTCGACACAATCAGGCGCGACGAGGTCCATTCGGGTTCTGTTGTCTTACACGTCTTACTGCGTTACAGTAGGTTAAATCATAACAAGGAAACTTTACGTGTGATTCATGTCATCGCGACATACTGTAACACATTATACTTACAGTGTGTGTCAAAAAAATGATGTAATCGTCCTCTGCTTTTTTTCTGGGGTGCATGCATGGAATAGATTAGACGGCCAAACAAACTGCAACTAAACGAACACGAAAATTCGCAAGAGCAACAAGAGATTTGAAGCATATTGCAGACGCGCCCAATAGATGCTTCGCGCTGTGATTGGCTGAATGTTAGTTCACTCAAGTCTAAGTAACAAATCAGAGAACACGGGTGGAAATATTGGCGCTGGGTCAAAAAAAATGAAATAGAAAAAGCTCTAGCTCGCTATTCTTGGTCCTCGTTGAGAAGCATCGCGACGCGGAATCATGAATTATTCTACTACAAACTGAAAGATTATGATTTGAATTTTTGAATGACAGACAAGTAGAAGGGTGGGGGCACACTGGGGGGCCAATCAGTTTTCAGGAGGGGCCAGTGCCCCCATGGCCCCTCCCCTGTCTACGCCACTGTGTCGGTGTTTTAAATGTCAGCGCTCTCTGTGCTGCGTGTTCTCTCCGTGCTGCGCGCTGCCTCACGTGTTAACGTAAACAACTCAGCCAGTGATAGTTTGTTATTTGTCCTCTAGAGGCCGCTCTCACTCTGTATAATGCCAGCAGTCTCTTCTGTTCTCAGCGCTCTCCTGCTGTGTAATGACCGCGCGCACTTCTCAGCCGCTCCAGCAACGGACGCAACCCGGAAAAACTATCGGTGTGGATTTTTGCCGATAACGATAGTTCCACCAAACAACTATCGGTACCGATTAATCGGCAAAACCGATGAATCGGTCGACCTCTAATGTACATATACATCAGGCGTGTGTACAGATCTCACACACACACACACACACACACACACACACACACACACAGTCAGTGTTCAGGCAGTTGAAGCACATCCTTGTTTATGAGTTTCTCTGTTCCTCCAGTCACCCAAAACCAGAAGGACTTGCTGCTGCAAAAACCCTCTGTGAAAACCTCCTGCAGACCGTAAGACCCGTCTCACTCTCTGTCTGTCTGTCTGTCTGTCTCACTCTGTCTGTCTGACTGTCTGTCTGTCTGTCTATCTCACTCTTTGTCTGTCTGTCTGTGTGTCTCACTCTCTGTCTGTCTGTCTGTCTGTGTGTCTCACTCTCTGTCTGTCTGTCTGTCTATCTCACTCTCTGTCTGTCTGTCTGTCTGTCTCACTCTGTCTGTCTGTGTGTCTCACTCTCTGTCTGTCTGTCTGTCTATCTCACTCTCTGTCTGTCTGTCTGTCTGTCTGTCTGTCTGTCTATCTCACTCTCTGTCTGTCTGTCTGTCTATCTCACTCTCTGTCTGTCTGTCTGTCTGTCTGTCTGTCTGTCTGTCTGTGTGTCTCACTCTCTGTCTGTCTGTCTGTCTGTCTGTCTGTCTATCTCACTCTCTGTCTGTCTGTCTGTCTATCTCACTCTCTGTCTGTCTGTCTGTCTGTCTGTCTATCTCACTCTCTGTCTGTCTGTCTGTCTGTCTATCTCACTCTCTGTCTGTCTGTCTGTCTGTCTGTCTGTCTGTCTATCTCACTCTCTGTCTGTCTGTCTGTCTATCTCACTCTCTGTCTGTCTGTCTGTCTGTCTGTCTGTCTGTCTGTCTGTCTGTCTATCTCACTCTCTGTCTGTCTGTCTGTCTGTCTGTCTGTCTGTCTCACTCTGTCTGTCTGACTGTCTGTCTGTCTGTCTGTCTGTCTGTCTCTCTCTGTCTGTCTGTCTAATATTATTTTTATACTATTATAGTTTAAAGGTCCCCTGACATGAAATCTTCACTTTCTGAGGTTTGTAGCATTAACATGAGTTCCGCTAGCCTGTATTTGGTCCCCCAGTGGCTAGACATGTCAGTCGGTGTAAGCCGAGCTTTGGCTGTCTCTCTCTGCCTCATCCGAGCCTCTGAAGAAACAATGGGTTTCACTGACGACTGTTTCCTAACCTTGGGCCGATACAGAGCTGGCCTCGATGAACGTCTGAGAATAAATCAGAGCTAATGCTACCAAGCTACACTTTCTGATGTGTAATTGTTCAAGTTCAGACAGGCAATCTTTCTCTCAAAATCGTTTATGCACAAGTCAAGCCAGTGACTAAAATATCAACTTCACATCGTTTCTTTTAGTAGGATGAAAATAATCGTATTTAAATTCTGAACAAATTATACAGAAAGCGATCAAAGAACAATCTTTCCACAGCGCGAGTTTATCTGGACACTGGTTCTGAAATGAATGACGCACGTTACACTGCACAACGAAGCTCTTACTGTATTTACATCATCGTGTTTGCATTGGTGAAAGCAGAGAGAGTGCAGACACTGCGTTACAATGATAAGATCTTCATGCTCGCGATCAACACACTGTCCTCTGCTCAATGCTCACCACGGCAACATGTGATGGGAATAGATCTTAATACTTTAAAAACTTCCCACGATTCGTTAATCTCGATAGCTGTTATAGTAAAAACGTATAATAGCTGTAGTAGAAGTATTCGAGAGAGTTTCACATGTAATATGTCAGCCAATCACAGCAGTGGGCGGTCCCACTGAATCCCACAGCCAATCACAGCAGTGGGCGGTCCCACTGAATCCCACAGCCAATCACAGCAGTGGCCGTTACACTGAATCCCACACAGACACGCCCCTTCAAACAGAGCGTTCAAATCAAAGGCTAAAATCAGGCAAGGAAAAATGCCTTTTATTTCTAAATTATGATTATTTTTTATCTAAAAAACATACTAACATTATAAGGGTAACCCAGGAAACATTATAAAATAATAAAATAACGCCATGTCAGGGGACCTTTAAGAAGTTTATCATTTAATATTTATATTTTATATTATTTCAGCTTCAATGCAATGAATGAAAATTTTATTTAATAGTCTTTCTTAGTTAACTGTGATAACACTGTGTGTGTGTCGTTGTCTGGCAGGTTCATGCTGAGTATTCTAGATTCCTGAATCAGATGAGCAGTGTGATGCCCACACAGGGTAAACACACACACACACACACAGGGTAAACACACACACACACAGGGTAAACACACACACACACACACACACAGGGTAAACACATACACACACACACACAAAGGGTAAACACACACACACACACACACACACACACAGGGTAAACAGTAAACACACACTCACACACACAAAGGGTAAACACACACACACACACACAGGGTAAACAGTAAACACACACTCACACACACAAAGGGTAAACACACACACACACACAGGGTAAACACACACACACACACACACACACACACAGGGTAAACACACACACACACACACACACACACACAGGGTAAACACACACACACACACAGGGTAAACACACACACACACACACAGGGTAAACACACACACACACACACACACACACACAGGGTAAACAGTAAACACACACTCACACACAAAGGGTAAACACACACACACACAGGGTAAACAGTAAACACACACTCACACACAAAGGGTAAACACACACACAGGGTAAACAGTAAACACACACTCACACACACAAAGGGTAAACACACACACACACACACACAGGGTAAACAGTAAACACACACTCACACACACAAAGGGTAAACACACACACACACACACACAGGGTAAACAGTAAACACACACTCACACACACAAAGGGTAAACACACACACACAGGGTAAACACACACACAGGGTAAACAGTAAACACACACTCACACACACAAAGGGTAAACACACACACACACACACAGGGTAAACAGTAAACACACACTCACACACACAAAGGGTAAACACACACACACACACACACACACAGGGTAAACACACACACACAGGGTAAACAGTAAACACACACACACACAAAGGGTAAACACACACACACACACACAGGGTAAACACACACACAGGGTAAACAGTAAACACACACTCACACACACAAAGGGTAAACACACACACACACACACAGGGTAAACACTAAACACACACTCACACACACAAAGGGTAAACACACACACACACACACACACACACACAGGGTAAACACACACACACGCACACACAGGGTAAACAGTAAACACACACATTTACACACACAAAGGGTAAACACACACACACACACAGGGTAAACAGTAAACACACACACACACACACACAGGGTAAACAGTAAACACACACTCACACACACAAAGGGTAAACACACACACACACACAGGGTAAACACACACACACGCACACACAGGGTAAACAGTAAACACACACATTTACACACACAAAGGGTAAACACACACACACACACACACAGGGTAAACAGTAAACACACACTCACACACACAGGGTAAACACACACACACAGGGTAAACACACACACACACACAGGGTAAACACACACACACACACACAGGGTAAACACACACACGCACACACACAGGGTAAACACACACACACACAGGGTAAACACACACACACACACACACACACAGGGTAAACACACTCACACACATGGTAAACACACACACACAGGGTAAACACACACACACACACACACACACAGGGTAAACAGTAAACACACACTCACACACACAGGGTAAACACACACACACACACACAAAGGGTAAACACACACACACACACACACAGGGTAAACAGTAAACACACACTCACACACACAAATGATAAACACACACTCACTCACTCACTCACTCACACACACAGCTTGTATGTTCTCATCTGCCGAGTCTGATCAGAGTGTGTGCGTGTGTTTGTGTGTGTGCGTGCGTGCGTGCGCGTGTGTGTGCGCGTGTGTGTGTGTGTCAGCAGGTTTTCTCCAGCCTCCTGCTATGAACGGGATGCCTCCTCAGTCTCAGTATTATCCTCATCCTCCCGCGGGATTCCAGCCGTATCCCGTTCCTCAGCAACCCGTCGCTCCTCCGTATCCGGTGTCTCCCGCGGCCCCGGGGCCCGTCCCCCCCGCGCAGTATCCCCTCGCGCCCGCTAGCGTCCCGGCACAGGTAACCCGCGCTCACCTGTGTGTGTGTGGGCATCGCACTGCTCATCTGATTCAGGAATCTAGAATACTCAGCATGAACCTGCCAGACAACGACACACACATTACACACAGTGTTGTGACAGTTAGCTAACACTATTAAAGGGCGGTTGATTATGATTTCACTTCTCTAACTGTAGTGAGTGTGTAATGCTGCTGTGTGAGCACGAACAACATCTGCAAAGTTACGACGCTCACAGTGGAAAGCAAAGGGAGAGATTTGCTTTGAACGAAATCGTTTTTTAAGGACTACAAGAAACGGCTGGTAGAACTACACGAGCTTCCTCTCGGGTTAGTGACATCACAGACCCTAGTATTTACATAACCCCGCCCCCGGGACAGCCGGTGTGGAGGGAGGCGGAGCTGGGCTGAGTCGCCAGTGATGTGATCATGTTCTGCATGAATATTATGACACGTTTGGATTCGTGACGAGAGTGTGTGTGAGCTCATAAGCTTTGCCGGGTTTGTATTGTGTTTTGCGATCCGGTCTCCCGATTATCAGTGAACTGAACAGTATTGCATTAGTTACTCCACTGGGAATCTCGTTTCTTTTCCCAGATCGTCACTCGTCTCCTGTGTCCGCAGGCGATCTGTGTGAGAGAGAGACCTGTGTTGTGTGTGTGTGTGTGTGTGTGTGTCTCTCGTGTCCTGACACACATCTCTCTCTCTCTCTCTCTCTCTCCAGACTCTTCCTCCCGCTCAGTTCCCGCCCCCTGCCGTGGCTCCGCCCTCACTTTCGGCTCCGCCCAGACCCGTGGCTCCGCCCCTCCCGCCACAGAAGCGGCGCTTCACTGAGGAGGTGCCGGACGAGTCGGAGCAAGGCCTTCTGGGATACCAGGTGAGCTGTCGGCCCGCGCCGGACCCTGCTCTCGTCACCGTACCGCTTTACCCCGTTTCTGCAGGTGTGTGTGACGCCAGCTTCCTGTCGCCACGGTGACAGACGGTTTGTGGGCGGAGCCTGAGGGTCTGCCGGATCTGCATGTCTGTAGTGAACAGACTCTAGTGAGCCGCAGAACTGCTAACCCAGCCCTAATCCGGTCATTTAGTCTCGTTGAGATACTATTATAGTTTTATTCATATGTAAAAAAATTAGTGTTTGTATTTAATTTAGTTTGTAATTTTTTTTATTATCGTTTAAATGCATGGCCCTTTTTTAAATACTTGTGGTGATTAGCGTACGGCGGCTCACTAGGGTCTGTGGTGAATGATGGGAACTGCTCACTGTCTGACTGTAAATGTGCAGTCCCCCCCCCCCCCCGTATAAGAGTGATTTGATGTGAGTGTGTGTGTGTGAGAGAGATGATCAGTCACTGATGTGTGTGTGTGTGTGTGTGTGTGTGTGTGTGTAAAGGAGGGTGTGTGTTAATGCTGTTGTGTTTTTCTGCTCATAGCATGGACCCATTCATATGACTAATTTAGGTGCAGGCATGGCTGTGGGCAGCTCCGAGTCATCAGGACCCCCGTCTGCTGCTTCCTCAGGGCCTGTGAGAGAGAGAGACAGGTCAGACACTTCAACAGGCACACACACACACACACACACACACTCACACTCACTCTCACACACACACACACACTCTCTCTCTCTCTCTCACACACACACACACACACTCTCTCTCTCTCTCACACACACACTCTCACACACACACTCTCACACACACTCTCACTCACTCACTCTCTCTCTCTCACTCACACACACGCACACACTCTCTCACACACACGCACAGACACACTCTCTCACACACACACTCTCACTCACTCACTTACACACACACTCTCACACTCTCACACACACACACACACTCTCTCATCACACTAATGTAAATGCGAATGATGTGATCAAAATTCACTTATATTTACATGATATTATAAACAATATTATAAACATTATCATAATCTTCTGTATTGAAAGTGAACGTTAATCATGTGATCATGTTGATTTTGGTGTGTGTGTGTGTGTGTGTGTGTGTTGCGCAGCAGCAGAACGATCATGCCGTGTGTGTCAGCGCCGCTCAACGGACTGAGATCTCAGAAAGCAGACGAGAAGACGGCGCCGCCGAGCCTTCTGGGTAAGACGCTTCACACACACACACACACACACACACTCCTGCTGATGTCTGTCATCACACACACACAGATGAGCTGCAGCAGCGGGACTGTATCATTAGCACAGGTAAAGCTGAAGTGTGGCGTTTCACAGGAAATGACACGCTTCAGCTTGAGGGCCGTGATTGGTCAGTTGAGTTTGAGGCTCCTCCCCTGCCGTGCCGTGTGACTCCACACTAACGGCGTCTCTCTTGTGTTCTGTGTTCTCTCTCTTTCTCTGTGTTTTTTCTCTCTCTCTTTCATGTCCCTGCGGGGGGATGCTGGATGGGCGGGGCCTCGTTCCCTTCCGCCTCCTGATTGGACGCTTCCAATGACATGCGGTTGTTTAACTTCCTGTTTCCTTGATTGCTGGTATGGTGTTGTTTGTGTGCTTGTCTCTGGTTTCTGGTGTCATCAGAGCCGCAGGTGAAGCGCTTCCGGGCCGGGCTGGTGGCGTACGCCGGAGATTCCTCGGATGAAGAGGACGATCACGGACCCTCGAAAGGATATACGTACCTCTCGCCTTCTCCTCACCGGCCCAAAACACACACACACACACACACGCCGCAGCCCTTCTGGATGGCACCGTAGACACACACACACACACACACACACACAGGTAGCGTCGTCATTCATGGCCTCATCCGCTCCGAAAGACTCTGGGTCAGATGAGGAACGAGGAGCCGCAGAAATCAGCATGTGACTGATCATGTGACTGATCATGTGACTGATGGCAGATCATGTGACACTGCAGGACTCACTTTTTAAAGCCGGCTCTGTTTTAGTTTCTTCATCACTTTGATTTGTAATGTTACTGTGATTCTCTTGACAAATAAACTCATTTACTCACAGAATGTTTGTGTCCTGTTTATTCTTCTATAGCTGTAAAGTTGATTTTAAAGTTAATTCTCTGAGAATATGAGTCAAGTCACCTTTATTTGTATAGCGCTTTTACAATACAGATTGTATCAAAGCAGCTTCACAGTGATAACATGAAAATAATACAACAAAGTTTGTTTCTAAAGGAAAATTGCGTCAGCGTCCACCTGAAGTAAGGCAGATCAATAATATTATTGAATATTAAATGTTAAATGTCCCCAACTAAGCAGCCAAAAGCCAAGGCAACAGTGGAGGAACCCAAACTCCATCAGGGACAGAATGGAGAAAAAAACCTTGGGAGAACCCAGACTCAGTCGGGGGGCCAGTTCTTCTCTGGCCAACGAAGGAACAGTGCATGATTCGGGCAGCATTACAAGTCAGATTGGATCGGAACATTTAGAGTATTTTTTGGAAGTCCAAGTAATCACGCCGGTCTTAAGACGAGTTGTTGAGGATCAGTGCCGTCCACCATAGAGAGTCCATATCGCCCGTGTTGAGTCGTCACTTCATAGGCTTTGTGATTGGAGCATCTGAAGTCTCCGTGAGAGGCTGGATACAAACTGGAGCTGACGAACGCCATTTTCCTCGGGACTCGCATCCCGAGATAACAGCAGAAAAGCAAAGGGGATAATAATTAGTGTAGCTGCTGTTCATAATGATTTCCATAACACGAGCGTAGATGATAAAACATGAAGACAGTGACTCTTGCGTCCCAAAATCACCCCCCTCCGTCCCCCACTCAACTCAGCCCAGCTTACTGACCTCTACGTCCCTCCTGCTGCTGAGACCTAACCACAATCTCACAATCTCTCCGCAGCCCAACCATACGCGCCAACCCGTTGACTAAGGCTGTCGAGCCCCACTGGTGCGTGAATAGGCAGTTTCAGTGGACAACGGTTCCGTATGGCATACTACCTACCGCAACACAATATCTGCCCAACCACCCGTCATTCACGCAATATATACAGGAACGTAATGACTGCAAATACTATGCAACCTATACAGATAACCTACAGTCTCTTCAAGTTTTATAGTATTAAATGCAGTTGATCTGATTCAACAGTGGTATAAAAGGTAAGCATTATGTAAATGCTTGGCTAAAGAGATGCGTCTTTAATCTAGTTTTAAACTGGGAGAGCGAGTCTGAGCCTCGAACAATATCAGGAAGGCTATTCCAGAGTTTAGGAGCTAAATGTGGGAACGCCCTCCCTCCTTTGGTGGACTTAGATATCCTAGGAATGACTAGAAGCCTCGAATTTAGTGATCTTAAAGAACGCGATGGATTGTATGGCGATAGAAGGTCCATTAAATACACAGGAGCTAAACCATTTAGGGCTTTATAGGTCAGTAATAGTACTTTGTAATTGATACGGAACTTAATAGGTAACCAGTGCAGAGATGATAAAATCGGTGTTATATGATCATATTTTCTTGACCTAGTAAGAACTCTAGCGGCTGCATTTTGCACTAACTGTAGCTTGTTTATTGAGGATGCAGGACAACTGGCTAATAAAGCATTACAGTAATCTAGTCTCGAGGTCATGAATGCATGAACTAACTTTTCTGCATCAGAGACAGATAGCATGTTACGTAATTTAGCAATGTTTCTAAGGTGGAAAAAGGCAGTTCTTGTAACATATGAAATATGATTTTCGAAAGACAAGTTGTGGTCTAGTATAACTCCCAGGTCTTTTACTGTAGTGGATAAAGTAACAGGACATCCTTCTAAATTAAAGTTGTATTGTAAGAGGTTTTGTGGATAGTTTTTTAGCCCAACAAGTAATACCTCCGTTTTATCTGGATTTAATAGCAGGAAATTACACGTCATCCAGCATTTTATATCTTTAAGACACTCTGTCAATTTAGATAAGTTAGTGTTTTCATCTGGCCGTGATGAAATATATAATTGAGTGTCATCAGCATAACAGTGGAAATTAATTCCATGTTTTCTTATAATATTACCAAGTGGCAGCATATATATTGAGAATAGCAGAGGGCCTAGCACCGATCCTTGCGGCACTCCATGGTCTACTGACGTTATCTTCCAATTTCCCCATTTAAACAAACAAAATGGTAACGGTCCGATAAGTACGATCTGAACCAGCTTAATGCCTGTCCCTGAACACCAGTGTAGATTTGTAGTCGATCCAAGAGTATTTTATGATCGATAGTGTCGAACGCAGCGCTAAGATCGAGTAGAACTAGTATTGAGATACAGCATCAGAAGCTAGAATTAAATCATTTGTAATTTTAACTAGCGCAGTTTCTGTGCTATGATGCGGTCTGAATCCTGACTGAAATTTTTCATAATCTCATTTTCTTGCAAGAAAGGGCACAATTGAGCGGACACAGTTTTTTTTGTCCTCAGCACAACTGTAGCCAGAGCTATAGAGTTCTGTAACGATGGAAAACTCTGGCAGCCAATCCACCCTGCTTTAGCCCTCTGGTGCTCTCCACCTGGCCTTCAAAAATGGCCGAATTTTTCAGTTTCTTTGTTTCAATGAAAGGAATTTACTATATTTGGTTATATATTTTCAAAAACACATTTTACTCAAGAAAAACTGCAAGAAGATCTAAGCCATAAATCTAAACAAGTGTGTGTGTTCCGCATGTGAGCTGATCTCTCAGTAAACGAGCGTTCAGCGAGTGTGTGTTCGGCTGCAGTTCCGCACGCTGCCACTAGGGGAAACTCACGTTACGCGCGAGTGATTTTTTTTGGTGCTTTTTGTGCATTGACGCGTCTGAACTTTGGCGTCAGTTCGCGCCGCGTTAAGGCGTGTTCATTTAACCTTTTCAAATCCTGTCCATGATTTATTGTGTTTACTCAGCAAGTGCCAGAACCTTTACCACCTTTCGTACCATTCCGATCAAGTAAAAAAAAAAAAGAAGTTTTTTTTTATTTCTTTTGAAGAGCACCAGAGGGTTAAATTCGGGTTAACTCCCTCAAAGGACTTTCTGCAGGTTGGGTGTCTGTCGTTATTGTTAGTTTTTGTTATAGTTAACATTATTGTTATTACTTATAGTTATTGCTATTATTAGTTAACATTATGCTCTTCCTTATAGTTATCATTATCATTAGTGTTATTGTTATCATAGTTATACCATGTGCATCTTTGATTTATCAAGCAGAAGTTATTAACACACATTTATATTCGACTCGCACAATATTTGTGAATTAAATCCTTTTATTCAAAGTTAGCAGCTCAAAACGGGATTTTCTGAGAGTATTTACATTCCCTAAAGCTGTTCTCCCACAGATGGAGTCCGAGGGGAGTGTGTGTTCTGGGGTCAGTTCTTCATGTCGAGGATGAAGTGTGTGTTCTGGGGTCAGTTCTTCATGTCGAGGATGAAGTGTGTGTTCTGGGGTCAGTTGTTCTTCATGTCGAGGATGAAGTGTGTGTTCTGGGGTCGGTTGTTCTTCATGTCGAGGATGAAGTGTGTGTTCTGGGGTCAGTTGTTCTTCATGTCGAGGATGAAGTGTGTGTTCTGGGGTCAGTTGTTCTTCATGTCGAGGATGAAGTGTGTGTTCTGGGGTCAGTTGTTCTTCATGTCGAGGATGAAGTGTGTGTTCTGGGGTCAGTTCTTCATGTCGAGGATGAAGTGTGTGTTCTGGGGTCAGTTGTTCTTCATGTCGAGGATGAAGTGTGTGTTCTGGGGTCAGTTGTTCTTCATGTCGAGGATGAAGTGTGTGTTCTGGGGTCGGTTGTTCTTCATGTCGAGGATGAAGTGTGTGTTCTGGGGTCAGTTCTTCATGTCGAGGATGAAGTGTGTGTTCTGGGGTCAGTTGTTCTTCATGTCGAGGATGAAGTGTGTGTTCTGGGGTCAGTTGTTCTTCATGTCGAGGATGAAGTGTGTGTTCTGGGGTCGGTTGTTCTTCATGTCGAGGATGAAGTGTGTGTTCTGGGGTCAGTTGTTCTTCATGTCGAGGATGAAGTGTGTGTTCTGGGGTCAGTTGTTCTTCATGTCGAGGATGAAGTGTGTGTTCTGGGGTCGGTTGTTCTTCATGTCGAGGATGAAGTGTGTGTTCTGGGGTCAGTTGTTCTTCATGTCGAGGATGAAGTCTGCGGGGAGTGTGTGTTCTGGCGTGCGCTGGAGCTGTTCGTCATGCGAGCGCAGTGTCCAGAGCTTCTCCAGCTCATACGTGTCTCTGGTGTCCGACAGCATGAGGTGAAGCACCATGGATCCTGCGGGACAGAACACGGTCAGTCACACACACACACACACACACACACACACACGCTCGCAGCCGCTACGAACCGAAGTCGATGCACTTCCAGTCGTCGCAGTCTCTGCCCTCCAGCCGAACGTGCCGCTCCTCGTTCTTACGCAGGAACTTAAACTGCGAACACAAAGAGTGTTTGAGCCGGGTCAAAGCCGGACCGCTCCACTGACCCGAGCTCTGCGTGTCATCCGGGTCTAGGGAAGCGGTTCTGCCTGAATAAACCATAAAAAGGGAACTGCGTCTTTCTCACCATTTTTCTTGCAATTTACAGTTTATTAATCGGAATTCTGACTTTATTTCTTGCAATTCTGATTTTAGAACTTTTAATTCCCAATTTATGAATTGTAATTCTGACTTTTCCCCCCGCGACTCCCTGTTTATAACTCACAATTCCCAGTTTATTGCTCACAATTCTGAGTTTATTGTTTTATTCTCAGCTGAAAACAAGCTTCCATAGATCTCGATTCAGTGTGTGTTTCCGCTAGTGGTCCAGCGCGCGGCCTTACCGCTTTGAGCACGCTCTCTGCCATGGCGCTGAGGTGTCGCGGGGACGATCCGCTCACGATGATCATGTGATCGGTGTACCTGAGCTCAGGTGAGACCCTGATGACACAGATGTCAGAAGCGTTCTCCTGCCTCAGGGCCGACACCAGCAGACCCACGTCAAACCCTGAACACACACACACACACACAACAACAGGAACACTTCACTAAAACACTGTGGAAGTCTATGGGGTCCAACAACTGTATGGTGACACACATTCTTCAAAATATCTCTGTGTTCGACAAAAGAAAGAAACTCATACAGGTTTGGAACACGAGGGAGAGAAAATGATGACAGAACTTTTGGGAATTTTTAGGTGAACTGTCCCTTTAACTGCATCTAATTATGCATAATTCATTATTACTACAGTTACAGTACATGTAATCTCTAACAATCTTTAAATAGGCTTAGTTTCACCTAAAAATGAACAGAATATATATACACTTTGCATGAAAATGGAACCTATTTTAAGACCCTCCATATTTCAACACTGACATTAGAGATTTGCGCTGCAATAATGAGAGTTGTAAGATGAACGTGCTCGATGTGTTTTTATTACTTTATTTAGCAGTTGGCGTTAATGAGCCGGACAGGAGTTGTGTGTCGGTGAGCGCCTGACCTCGTGCTGTGTGTGTCTGGAGCTCCGCGTGTGTAGCGGTGTGTTCTGCTGCTGCTGTTGTGAGTTGTTGTGTGTCCTTCTGCTGTAAAGACGAGCGGAAGCCTGCGACTCTGAGGAGCCCGCGAGGAGCTGGAGACCGCAGACAGCGCGCTAACATCATTCTGTGTGTGTGTGTGTGTGTGTCATTTATGAGGACTTTATATGAGGAAGCACGTGATCTGAGGTGTCTGTCTCTCTCTCTCGGACTCCTTGCGGCTGCGCGCGTGTGACGTCACCGGATGTGCGTCACACAACAGAGAAAGGCATTATTTCGATTTTTTTAATGTTATAATATCGATTTTTTTAATTTCATGATTTCAATTTTTAATCTCAAAATTATAACCGAGTACGGCATAATTTTGACCTATGTAATTATAAAGATTTACCGAAGCGTGATATTTTGTTTATCAGCGGTTCTTAAACTTTCGGACTCTTTTCTATTTATACACATTTTACGTGGTACTAATACGTCTGAACTATGTGCGTCGTCTTAAAATAACTTTAAAGTTTGCATTAGTAGGCTAGATGTATTTCTATAGGCTACTGCTTTTTTTGTTTTTTCTCAACAAGTGGCAATAGTGCATAATAAGTTTGTTTTATGTTCGATAACTTGTGTTTAGCTGTTGCGTTGGTGCTGAAGTGAAGGGAATTAAGCATGTTCTTTAGACCATTAAAAGCCTCTTTTCCGCTTGGACTATAGAAAGAGAGAGACAGCTTTGCCCAGTTATAAAATGAGACTAGAAATAATTTCTCAAAATATTAATCTGTTTCTCATGGCATTAAAGAACAATTCAAGACATGAAAACCATCATCAGGTGTAAATCACTCAGGATGAACATGAAGTTTGTTGATAAGCCATTCTAACATCTCAGAAATAGAAAAATGTTATATTTATATACAGCATCTCCTTCATGATGAGACAGTGCGGATGAATTATTAATGCACACACAGCATATTTAGTTTTACTGTTGTTTTTAGTTTGTGGCCATCTGGTGGTCAAAGGGTTGAACAGCACTTACAAAACTGCTTTATTTTAGAGAAATCATCACTTCAAAATTAAACATTTTAAATAATCACTTCAAGTCAATCACACTAAAAGAAAATATATTAAACAAATGTATGAAACGTAACCTGTGTATTTTAAATAGTCAGCTTTATTTCTCCAGCTTTATACAGTACAGCTCGTTTCACAGTAATAAACAGGACAATAACAGTTACTTACAATTGTGTCTATGATTTACATGTTTATTATGAAGTAAAGAGATGCAGAAGAGCATTAGAGCACTGGACTCCTGCGGGTGTGTTCGAGCTCTTCGGGTCGCTGATGCTCCTGATGGAGAGAGAGACAGCTTTACTAACAGTGTTTCTGCTCGTCCAGGTCCACAGCACATTAACCCAGACAGAAGCAGTGTCGGCCCAGGTCCGGTGGAGTCACGTGTGCCGGATGCGAGCCGACACTGTTACTGATCCACGGAAACGACTAAAAATTCTGTATTGTGAATTTTTTAGACCAGACATGGTAATTTGTCGGTCACTTTGTAGAGAAAGACTACACACATTCAAACGCTCATATCTATAGACTAAACACACAATACATGAGCACGGCGTCAGCGTTTATACAGATTCACGTTTTTGAAGTTTATACGGAGATGATCACGCTTAACACATTTTTGTTAAATGTGAGGAGTGTAACAGTGTGTGGAGTAGGAGTGTGTGAAGTGTGTGAAGTGTGTGGAGTGTGTGAAGTGTGTGGAGTGTGTGGAGTGTATGAAGTGTGTGGAGTGTGTGGAGTCTGAGGAGTGTGTGAAGTGCCTGAGGAACACAGATGTGGCCAGCGGTGCAGGAGGAGAACAGATGCCACACATCAGCGGATCTGAGCGTCTCGAGCTGGCTTGTTCATCTAGCGAATGGCTAGCCCTGATCTGACCACTGACAGGCCCGACAGGCGAGAAGATTCGCACACACACACACACACACACAGAAGTCAATCTCACCTCGATCTGCAGGAGCCTCGCTGTGAGAGAGAGAGAAAAACAACAGTTAAAACAAATAAAAAAATATATATACAAAAACACCGTCACGGTTTGAAATCGCTGGTGTTTCTGACGTCACAAACGACCTTGTAACAATCAGATCAACGTGTGATCGTCAACCAGTGGATCTCTGAGCTGAGGGAGTGAGTGGAGGCGGGGCTCATCTGCATATTCATAGAACCGCGTATATGCCGCGTTCCAGGCAACCTGTAACCAGTGTTTTTCCAACCTTATACCCGTGAAAGTGCACTGGAACGGCAGTCAAACCCGTGACTTCCCATCCGTGAACTCGTACTAGATCGATGTACTCCCAGTTACGAGTTGGAAAAACACGGGTTACGGGTTGCCTGGAACGCGGCATAAATGAGGCGAGGGTGTCGAGTTACATTCAAGATATTTTAAATTGTTAAGACAATTTTTCAATGAAAAAAAAAGTTTAAATGTCATTTTGGTGATCAAAGATGAGTTTTAAGGGATAAAATTATTGACTACAGCCAGGGGGACTTTAAAACTAACACAAACTACAAAAACCATCAACAGAATAAAATGACAATGGATGTAAAATCTAAGAGCACATAAAACTTGTAGAAACACCAAAATCATTCGAGTAAACAATTATTATATTATATTAATAAAACTCGTCCACGTGCGTTACTGTGCGACACTCGCGCCTGCATCTCGAGATAGAGAACTAAAACCCACGCAATTACAATTACAGTACAATAAACCTGATTTAGATCACAGACACATTAGAAAACACCGTTCAGAGGTAAAACACATACTTCATAATAACCTTAAAACCGCAGAGAAGCGAGGCCTGGCGGAGCCACACACACACGAGCTCCTCTTCCTCTTCTTCTTCTTCTTCTTCCTGGAGCTTTATTGTATTGTCGAATGGTGTATTACTGCCACCGACTGGTAAGGAGTGTGTGGATAAAAAAATGACATACTCCCTTCCTTTTTCCTTTTTTTTATCCTCTCCCACAAATTAGTTATTTTAAGATAATAAGTAAACTATAACATTCATTTTCCGAGTTATTGTGTGAAATATCTCCTAGCATAAATTGCGTTTTTATTTTTTGCTAGGATTTTGCATTATAATCCTTCTTTCAGCCTCGTATTTCTGACAGTATAGCATAAAATGTTCACAACTTCTCGTCTCATGTTTACACATTTTATAAAGTGTGCTGTTTAGTCTTGTGTGTCCAAATTATTATCTCCTCTCTCCTTCTTTCATTTGAATGCTATAAAACCATCAAACTTTCTTCTCCTTCAACCTTTTATTAATAATACTCTTGATTTCAGTCTTACTTAGGCAATTAAGTTAATGTCATTGTTTTTTATGGCTTCTTTTTCTGCCTTATCTGACATTTCATTTCCTTGCACTGCCCCCTGCTGACGCTCAGTGGCACACACACACACACACACACACACACACAGGTTCTTAACCGACGACGAGGACTTGACAGAGCAGCCATCGAGTGTTAGACAGTATTCTGGGTTACGTGTGGAAGTTTTTTGCCCAATAATTAGAAACTCTGTTTTTTCAGAATTTAGTCGTACGAAATTACTAGTCATCCAGTTTTTAATATCAGCTATGCATTCCGTTAATTTTGTGGATTGGTAAGTTTCGTCAGGGCGTGAAGAAATATAGAGCTGAGTATCATCAGCATAACAGTGAAAACTAATGCCATGCTTCCTAATGATATCTCCTAAGAGTACACTGTCAGAAAAAGGCAATAGCGTCTGGCTGCAGACAAGTGACGTCACTTGCACTCTCGGACTTGCACGCTCAGACACGAGCGCTTCCTCTGCAAGTGACGTCACTTGCACTCTCAGACACGAGCGCTTCCTCTGCAAGTGACGTCACTTGCAATCGACGCCTGCTCTCTACGGAACGCGATCGTAATAGTCTTTAAACGAAACGCGTGGAATTTGACCGCGTCAACACGCACTATTTGTTTGTCCGCGGCAATTTTTTACGTGTTTATTTTGAACGCGTAGACACGCTCCTTTTGGTCGTGTTAAGGCGTCATTTGTCATTTTGTTGACAGTTTGTTCAAATTGCTAAGAAGACACTACAAGTGGATTTTTAGGCTCACTCAGTGAAACCATTCACTCATGTACCCAATCTTTAGACCAAGTCTGCAAAAATACAAGGACATTATATGCTTTGCACTGTTTTCATTTGAAAATCAAACTTTTTGCAAAACACATTTCTCTACATTACACACATCATTCAAAACTAACAGCTCTTGTTTCATTTGGGATTAATTAATTTACTGATGACCTACAGCCAATAATCATGTGGGAAAACACTTGTACATAAATTGATCACTTGGAAATCAAAAGAAATAAATTATTTTTACTATTATTATATATTAAATTATTTTTAATTATTTTCAAAACATTTTGGACAATTTCATGCTCCCAACTTTGTGGGAACAGTTTGTAAATGAAAAACATCAAGATGATGCATTTCTTTCTTCTTTTTATTGTAAATGTCAATTTACAATTATTACACACTGTTAATGTGCAAAACAGACAAATACGAGGTACAAATAGACAATATATAAAAACACATTGGCACATTATTCACTTTACTCTAGTGTAGTTCGACAGTTTACCTTTAATTTCATGACATCAACATGTTCAAGAAATATTTGCATGTCATTCATTACACTAAAGATGAAGCAAAAGGGTTCCAGAGCATCGATTCTGTCCTGTGGAAACTCAGCCTTCTCCAATCTCTCAATGGCTTCCGCAACATCTTGTTCCTCCATACACAGTACTTTGGGCAACTCAACAGAACCATGCAGTGCACTAGATTGATCCAAACACCACTTGCTGGCTATCTTCAAATCTGGCATCAATCGACTCTGTAAAATAACACAGAGAACGAGGGAGATACAACTGTGATAAACCAAACACATTTACAACAAAAAACAAAAACAACAACTATTTACAATTATTATGACTTTGTTGCTAGTCATGTAACAAAACACTGTACCTCTTGTGATGATTCTAGTGGTGCATCCTCCAACACAGGATGCAGTACATCTCCCTAACAATATATAAAATACAAATAAATTAATATTACATTTAAGTCTGTGTTAACTTTATACGTTTTTATTTAAAGATAATTTGCTTTTTTTCTGAGTACCAACTACACAGTACCTGTGATGGTAATTCCTGAACCCGATGTTGTGGCTCTACCTGCAAGTCAAACACCACAGCATAAGCAAATCAAACATTCACAATGTAATATGACTTAAGTGTCATATCCCCTAGTATATGCTTTCACCTGAAAGGCATCCTCAAACTTCCTTTTCTTTAGCCTAAAAACTGGTTGTCGATCACCCCTCAGGAAGGCTTTAGACTCCTCGGTAAAGTGTGCAAAAACCTTTCCATGGCTGTAAAGCATGACAATATTACACATTGTTCCATTATTTATTTGTTTATATTTAAAAAAAATAAAGAAATACTGTACCTATCCAGACCATAGTTCTCCATCAACATCACACACCACCATTTCCGCAGTTCTGGCATGTCCAGCTGCACAAAACATGAAAGTAATTATTACCCCTTTGCATTTTAAAATCACACTCAACATTATTGTAAACAAGTACTCACAATTGTGTAGTCAAATGAGGAATCCATCACCAGGTAAAATGCAGACTATACAGGGGGGAGGTGGGAGGGGTAGGGGAACATGATGAGGCATCAAAAGAGAATTAAAAATAGCCAGATGATGAAAAAAAAAAAAATCTTACCATTAACATGAAGACACCGCAGTCATTACCATATGGTTGCCCTGGAAACCCCTTTAATATAGCAAAATACATTAGTGACTAAAATTTCAATAAGTAACACTTTGAAACTTGGATCAAATTTACCTCTAAATCAAGGCCTGTCTTTTCAGCCCATTTCCCAGGCGTTATCCTGTTTGCAATATCCCTGTTGATTACAGATTGTGTTCTTTTTAACATTAGCAGCTTTTTCTTAATAACCTTCATGCACATTTAAATCTGTAGAACAGTTTCTCAAACTGCATTCAGTGAAAGAGCTAGGGGTTCCATATTTTTAAATATGGCCTGCAACTATGTAAAATGAATTGTAGATAAAATTAGCATTATATTGATTACAAAATGAGCTTGAATCAGATAGGGATCCCCTAGTACTCTCAGTAACCTCTTAGAAACCAGTTCAAGAACACGAGAACAAACCTTCATGCAAAATATAGGAAAACAACATCTGAACAATACATACAATACTATGAACTTCATGAAATAAGTCACAGAACTGTGACTATTAGTGAACAACTGAACATGCAAGCATTGTCAGATCACACAGATTTCTTAGACCATAAGCTGTCACAATGAAACAAAGGTGTTTAAATCTGAAATCATCACTAATACAAAAAAGGTCAGAGAAACCTGAAGTACATTAGAACAAGTACAAACCTTCATACAGTTGAAAAACAGCTCCAACTGAACAATCCCTGAAATAAGATGATCTTGCAGCGTAGAGACAGGTCATATGAACGTGACCTTCTCTGAACAAAAGCGCAACCGCGCATTTTAAGTAAATTTGTCCAAAAACCTCAAAAGAGCTTTGTATCTCTGGTTACCAAATCCGAGTGGTGTCTCAAAACATTTAGAGTCTAAAAAGAGAATTACTTTCTGGGCTGGCTTCAAAACCTAAACAAAAAAGTACAGTTTTGTTTTTTCTGTAAATAACATTACCAGCACATATATTTTTTTTGTTGTATATTTTAGAAAATGTGTACATTTACATCTATTTGGTACTTTCTGCAGTTATACATGCACTGAAATCAAAGCACTACGGGCATGCAAAGACGACTTTTTTTTAATATTCACTAAATGCCGTGTGAATACGTACACACAACTAGTAGTGTCCTGGTGTCCAAATCGGAATCACAAGGGCATCTTTCAAGTGAGCATCATCCTGACATGAATTAGAAAGTTTTAGTCAACACATCATAACAGCATGCATAACAGGGAAGAGAAAAACATGTACTTACAGGTAGACTCAAAAATGGATCACAGTTGTTTGGTGGCAGCCATGTTGGTACAACATGAAGATTAGCTACATAAATGTTCTTGCCCTGCAGGGTATTGTGTGTAGAAGGCGCCATTCAAAATATGTACTGTCAACTCAACTATTGCAATATTGTATAAACAGAAATACCTTCAAGTTGTACAATATTCAAAGTAACTATATATATATATATATATATATATATATATATATAATTAAAATACCTTTGAGTATGCAATGCTTTTAATCAACTGAAAACAACCATTTCCAATCTGAAAAAAATAAAAATAATAATTACAATATTAATTATAAATACATGTAACAACAAATATATAAAGCAATGTAAAACAGCTGTAATCTTACAGTTGACTCCATGTCTCTGTTAAAGCCCAGTGTCCAAAAGTCAGCACGGTTAAGGACAGCATTCGCTGTTCGAACGATCAGTTCCTTTCCTGGTCTCTCAATGTCCAGTATGTAGTTTAGCTATAAACAAAAAAAAAAAGGTTTCAACATTCAAAATCCCACAGTTAAACAGAGCTGTATTAATAATTTATTAAAACTAACTAGTTCTTTTTGAGCTGGATGATTTCCCAAAGTCCATGAAGCTCGACAGGCTGAAATATTTTCACACTTGGTCAATGCTTCACATTGAGGCCCACAGTCTTCTGCATGTTAAAAAGGTAGTATTAGCAAAAAGGCAAAAATCATTGAAAGTCAAAAGGAGAAAAAATTTCCCTCACTAATGTCCAGGTTTATGTGATGTGGATGTTGCCTGATGGTTTCTCTTTCACTGGCTCGTGGGGCTAAGAAAAGCAGGGTAAAACAAGGTTACTATTGTAAAGTCATGGTTTATAAAAGAAAGCAATGCAGCATAACTATTGGCTACTGACCTAGAATAGCTTGTCCCATGTCAGACAGGATGATATCTTCAATTCCATGAGGTCTGTGACCACGTTGCAGCTGTACTTCCAGAAGCTTCTGGTTTGTGGATGTGTTCTTATGATGAATGATGTTGCGCATCATAAAGATATGCGTTGATGGTGCCATGTTGTTCAGGAAATAGTTGCTTTTTCGCAAGCTTGCAAAAAACTGTTCTGCTATTTGACTATTTAGCCAACCCTGTAGCTCTGGGACCAGGCTGATTCTTCTGAGTACTTCCTGGGGGTCTTTTGTGTTCGATTCATGAAGTTTGTCATATAACACGTAGTGCTCAGATGATCCAGTGATGGGATGGCATTTGGTATTCAAATTGTCTGTCTTCTCAAACAACCAAGGAAGAGAGACGTTTAGTTTGCCCTTCTTTGCTGAACTTATGTTCTCTGGTGTTGGCTCAGCTAGTCTCCCTTCATGAGGTTGAAATGGAATAGCAGTGGGTACACGCAAATTACCATGTGTGGCCAAGCCTCGCGCAAAGTCATAGACATTAACATTAGGAATGTGCTTCCATGACAACAACAGGTCCGCAAAATCTCTGGGACTTTCGGCTCTCAAATTGAACTTTATACTATACACCACACCATGTGGGCATAGGATAACTGACCAGCCACCTGGAAAAGCCATAATAAAAACTGAATAAGGACATGTAAAATGATCATCTCTCAATTATCATCTCATTAAAGTAATATGCCCACCTGATGCTCCCCAGATTTTCTGGAACATTTTGTCATATGACTGCCTGTTCTGCATCTCCGCTCTTAATCTTGAAACTAGATCCATACGAGAACCTTTAGAATCAATATTACAGGCCTTGCATAGATTTCGGACAACACTGACCTGTTAAATAATGCAAGCACATTGTCAGAACAATGCTTCTTTCTCAAGATCACATGATTCAAGTGAAGTTGATTTTTATGAAGATTTCTACCTTCTGCTTCATCAGCTCATCCACAAGACGGTCTTCTGAGACATTCATCATTTGAGCTTCAGCTGATGTGACCTTCGCTGTAACAACTTTAGCATATTCTGTATTCAATACAGTGTTATCTTTCCTAGTCTTGCTTCCTATCCATGGAGCCCACCTTTCATAGCTAGGTTGCACAGCAAATGGATTTTTGGCCCGGCCTGATGCACATGTACATTTATTAGTCTACATAATATGAAAATTGATACACATTTCAGAGGGAAAAAAAATTAGATTAAAATTGAATAAATCATTCCCAGAGGAGACCAAAACAAAGAGGAATTTATAGTTGGTAAAAAAAAAGAAAAACACTTACTGGGGACAAATCCTCGGGCAATCATCTCAAGATTGACTGATTTCCAGAAATCCTCAATGTCAACTTCCCCTCTAAAATCAGCTGGAGGCTCTTTGAGGTCACTCACTTACAAAAAAGAAACAAACAAAGTGAGACAGACAGATACATAGTCGGTTGTTCGTCGTACTGGCGGATAGATAGTATTTCAAGAAAAGTACTTTAACATTTCATTACTCTGGTTACTATCTAAAAAAGAAAACAAACTCTTACCTGACATGCTAAAAACACCCTTCTTGTGCAAGTCCATGATGACCACGGGAGGATGGTAACCACAATTGACACAAGAATACAAGTATTCGGTATCTGTCAAGGCCTCAAAATGACCATAACCATGGATTATGGTGTCTCTGTTGGGGTATTTTATTCTCCGGAGGCGCTCCAAAGTATCTATAGCCCTGGAAACTGATACATGGTTCTGGAATAGACATAACAGGAATGGGTCAACTGAATTTTTTTAAAGCTTAATTATTGGATAGGTATGTGTGTCATTAAACACTATGCAATAAAGACAAACCTGTAAACTGTGTCTTAGGTACAGACACAGTTCGAGACTCAGAAGCACATGATCATCAAAATTGTGGAGACCATCCTGCCATTCCTGGTACCTATAAATCATATTACACCCTGGGCATCTTCTGGTGTAAGTAGAGATGTCTAAAAAGAGTAAGTGCAAGTAACATTAATGAATGATTATGATACAATTTAATATAACTAGTGAACATACATTTTTGAATGTTGAACTTACTCTCAATGACACTTTCCATGGTGACAATTTTAGCTTTTGCAGTAATCAGCAGTGGCATGTCAAGTGCAGTTTCACCACTGCAGATCATACACATCGTTTCAACTGGAAGATAAGTTGATGAAAATTCCTTTGATTTGGTTGCTGCTTCTGGAAGATTAGCTGGAATTTTCTTCTTATTATATATATATTGCACAGTGCTTTGAAGGTCAATTGGGGAAGTGAAGATGTGCTCTTCTGAGGGCTGGGAACCCAAGGCGTCACTTGATTTAGAATTTTTGTGTGTTGTGAACAAGGTCTTATTTGTTTGGAATAAGTGCCATTTAGCTATGTTTTTGTGAGGGCAAGACACTCGTGGCTTTGCACATGGGCAGTGCCAAGTACTTGCAGTTGAATTGTATGTTACCATTACTCTACCAAGGCGATTATAGTGATGAACAGTAGGCTCATGTATGGAGAGAGTGATTTGCTTTTGAGATTCACCTAATGCCACCAACACTGAAAATGGAGCATGAGCTGTCTGAGCTATTTTTTGTCTTTTCAAACAAACTGCCTTCTTTGACTCTCCTATGAATTTAAGCTCCACCATCTCATCAAGGACTCTTGGTTCCAGGTGCTCCTCAAATGCTGTCTCAAAACAATAATCCAGTGAACGAAGGTGTTCACAGACACTAAACGTGTGTCCACTCCGGTGAGCAAGTAGCTGGTACTGGCGACACTCCTCCAACTCACATCTAACATAATGAGCTTTGCCCCATGTCTTTCTCTGAACATGAACTGGTATAGTGAAACCATGACCACTTCTTTGAACTGCTGACAGTCCATTTGAGGGATCAACACACACACTGGAAAGATGCGAGTGCATTGTAATATCTTTCGAATGGTCAGTATGTTTTCTGTTAATGTGGATTATCAAGTTCTTTTTTAGTACAGTGAGGGAACAATGTGGGCATTTAACCACATTTTGCCTTTTTGGCAACTGTGAACCTGACGTTGAGGACAGAGAAGCCACCGCAGGTGTCGCTGTAGATGGCAGTGAGGACAGTGCAGGTGACGTTGAGGACAGAGAAGCCACCGCAGGTGTCGCTGTAGATGGCAGTGAGGACAGTGCAGGTGACGTTGAGGACAGAGAAGCCACCGCAGGTGTCGCTGTAGATGGCAGTGAGGACAGTGCAGGTGACGTTGAGGACAGAGAAGCCACCGCAGGTGTCGCTGTAGATGGCAGTGAGGACAGTGCAGGTGACGTTGAGGACAGAGAAGCCACCGCAGGTGAAGTTTTAGAGGATTGAAGGGGTACATTTGATGGGCATATTTTTAAGTGAGCTTCCATAACATATCTCCTCAAAACAGTTTTGCTGCAATTGGGACAATGGTAATGAGCCTGAATTCTACAGGGCAAATGGCAACAACATATTCTTTTGCCTGTTGATAAAGCACAGTATGAAAATCAGGAAAAACTATATCAATGCATCAATATAAAAACCATACAATTACAGTAGTAAACATTTGACGTGGATCAAAACCTTTCATTAATGATGGCCTAAAACCACAACAATACCCATTCTTTTCTTAGGACAATTTCGAATAACTTGTTTGATCCACTTTAAATGTTGACTACTACTTATAAAACCCATCAATACATAACCCAAAAAGATTTGCATATGTAAGGGAAAATTTGTGAAAGTGTACATAAGATTGTAAGCATAAATTAAATTTGCATGCACAAGAAAAGCTTTAAAGGTGTAAATTGCATTTCAAGCTTAAGAAAAAAAAGTTTAAAACAATTACTGTTTACACCTTTGGCAGTTTTTTTGTGGCCCAAATATGGACAAAAGCATTGCACGTCTGTGAACAGCCATTTGCAAGTGAAAACAACAGTTTAGAGAACTGTTTCAGAGCAGAACCCTCTTATGTTTATTTGAAGGAAAAATATGTGTGAATGTGCTTGTGCACCTACAATTACAGTCCAATAGTTTAATGCACCTACCTTGGAAAACAATTGATTTTTTTAAATGGCCTTCCCAGTGTAGGTTTATTTTTTTCAGGGTGGTTGGCTTCAGAGAAGGGCATAAACTGCAGTGATACAAAGCGCAACATGATGTGCACTGTGGTACAGGGGGGCTTTCAGAAACTAAAATGACTGAATGGTGCATGATGCATCTGTAATGAAAGAAACCAATGATAATATTGATATTAGACTGTTGTACAGGAAATTACATTGAAATGTAATGAGCAAAACTGAGACGTGAGGTCGAAACATGATCGAATATTGCATGTATTTTACATTTTACTAAAAATGTTTTCACCGTAAAACAGGACGGCAAACTACAGTGGTTTCAACGTGTAAGTCATGTAAAGACAGTTTATACTTTCTTTATGTATTTAAGACCGTGAGTGGTTGGCTTGTTAGGCCTAATATTTTTGTATATCAGCGATCGTGTAAATTAAGGTAAAATGTATTATTTATCATATAATGAAAATGTATATATATTTATTGCGTTTATATTTATGTATGAATATGTGTATGTATATATACTTACAGAAACGAATTTTAACGACATTGGAATTGTTCTCAATCTGCCACGAGACACACTATGCGCCGTCGATTGCAAGTGAGTTCACAGGTAGCGGAGAGCAGGTGTCGATTGCAAATGACGTCACTTGCAGCGGAAGCGCTCGTGTCTGAGCGTGCAAGTCTCAGAGTGCAAGTCTGAGAGTGCAAGTCTGCAGCCAGACCCTTCTCGAAAAAGGGGTACCGTAGGAGGCCATTTTTGTCTCCCAAGGTAATCCGCCTAATGGTGCACAGGTTATTAAACAATCATGATTTATGTATTTATTTAACATGTATGTTTGCATTAAAAGTAACGAGAATGAGCCAAATGAAGATAAATATGCGTTCTGAAGACTGACGTGTTTATTGAACCAATCAGATAAGAGTAAATCGAGTGTCAGCGAGAAGCTCATTTGATTGGCTACATGATGAAGGTGGATCCGCCCTCCTCTTCGCGCTTGCAAAACTCAAATGAGTGAGAGAATCGTGCCAAAACTCTAAGCGCAGAAATCGGAACTGTACAAACCAGGTTATTTCGGGAGCATTTACCCTACGCACACAAGTCATTTAGACAATTGCAACATTTTATTTTTTACGCATACAGATTGGTTTTACAATTGCAGTTCTTTAAACTGTTGTTTTCGGTTGCAAATCACCGTTCACAGGCTTGCAATGCTTTTGGCCGCATTCGTGCGCAAAAAACGTGCCAAAAGTGTAAGCGCGGAAAATGGAAGTCAGAAGAGTACAGATCCTATTTATTTTGCGTTAGCATGAAGCTGCAGTATCACAATACATGTATTACACTTACGAAAACCAGCAAAATGTTGCAGATTTTTTTTCTTACACTTGAAACACGATTTACACCTTTACAAATCTTCTCTTGCACACGCAAATTTAACTTACGCTTGCAATCTTATGTACACTTTCACAAATCTTACCCTGCGCATGCGATTCTTTATGTCATCATTTTACCTTCATATGGGAACACTTCCCTTAAATCCAGATGTACTCGTTACATCATAAGAAGAATGGCATCTACGCTAACTTTAGTGTCTTTGTTTATCCCGAGGTTTTCCCGCAGCCTGCCAGATCCAGGCCGTGTCCAGATCTGACGAAGGACCTGGACACACACACACACACTCCAGATCTGACGAAGGACCTGGACACACACACACACACTCCAGATCTGACGAAGGAGATTCGCCTGGACCCGATGACAATGCAGTGCTGAAGTATCCACTATCCTCTCCCTATGGAGGATCCCTTTCCCACTCTACAGATAAAGCGCTGTGAATTCCGGCTCGCGTACCCCGAAGTGATAAAATAAAATTCTGTATCAAATTTATAGGCAAGACAAGTAGTTTGTTTAGGCATGGTTTGTTGGGAAATTACAAACCTGCGCGCACATATTCAAACGAATATAACTATAGAATCAATTTTTAATGCGCATGTGAACGCCATCAGGTCACAGGTTCGGGTTTAAAGTCTGTTTAGAGAGAACGCCGTCGTCTTAGTGGCCCCTAATGTAATAACAAATGATAATTTTGCGGGAAGTGAATCAATCAAAACCAACTTTAGCTGAAAATAACATTATTCAAAAATCGCTATAAAGCCAAAACAATCTCTGTTACCGTAAATTGTATGTTTATCTCTGTAAAGCTGCTTTGAAACAATCTCCATTGTTAAAAGCGCTATATAAATGAAGATGACTTGACTTGACTTGACTTGACTTTAGTTGGGCTCTTGACTCTTAAACTGTTAACATTAGATTTTGTTTTGCTGCTGTATCTGAGTTATGACTGCCAGATGAACAAAGAGAAAAGTTGATCAGATGGTGTTGGTTATGTTTTGACATAATCATAATTTGATCTGAATCACAAATCTCATTTAGAGAGTTATGTCTACCTTGTTGATTACAGCAGACTGTGATTCTACAGTGAATGGTTTTCAACGGTTTCAATATAATCCAAAATATTTCTTTAAAGTTGTTCCGATCAGAAGACATTGAAATTGTATTTTATTTAGACACACTGACATCAATAATCAGCCTGTGAATCTCAACAATGGTGACAATAATAAAGCATGTTGCAGTGCATTCTGGGTGCCACCAATCAAAACTCATTCATGGCTCCCATCATGCATTGCTGTATGAATAAATTATGATCTGAATTGTCTTAGTAATTTCCTTTCCCTAATGGCATATTCTGTTTGTCACCATTGTTGAGATTCATACACTGATTCTTGATGTCTGTGTGTGCCTAAAAGAAGGATTTTGTTTGATCAGAACAACTTTTTAGAAATCCTTTAGATTATTTAGAAAATTCTGGATCTTATGCTGTAGAATCACAGTGATGCTGGAATCAACAATATACATTTACGTCAGAGATTAGACTCTAAATGAGTTCAGTGATTCAGGACAAATTATGATTATGTCAAAACATAATCAACCATACACCACCTGATCAACTTTTCTCTTTGTTCATCTGGCAGTTATAACTCAGATACAGCAGCCAAACAAAATCTAATGTTAACAGTTGAAGGCCCAACTAAAGCAAACACTGATCACCATAACGATGTCTTAAAAAATAGATTTTCTCCAGGTGTCTTCAATAATGGTCAATCATCACTCAATGAATCACATGGTGCTGACAACGCTGTCTTGATTGCTAAATTAACCGAAGTAATCTCTACACTAATGGACGACAAGCTAAAAAAAATCACTAACAAACTCACAATTGTAGTGGCACAAAATGAGCAGAGACTCCAATTAGCAGAAGAGCGGATATCAATTGTGGAAGATTCCGTCAAGATACTTCAAACTAAAGTGGCTGCAATGGAAATACAGCTGAAAACAGCAAATGACAAAGTGATCGATCTGGAAAGTCGAAGTCGTCGGGACAACCTCAAAATCCTAAATTTGAAAGAAGGAATTGAAGGGACTGACCCGAAGATATTCCTTGAATCTATGCTCCCGAAACTACTGGGCCTCCAGACTGGCAAGGAGAGGGTGAAGATTGATCGGGCTCACCGTATTGGACCCAAGCAGGATGATAGACCGTGAGCGATGATTATAAAATTACATAATCCTAGCGACAAAGATAAGATCATGCGTGCTGTGAAAGCTAAGGGGTCACTGATGTTAGAGAATAAAAAGTTGCTCATTTACCAAGACTTATCCCCAGCTGTTCGTGAACAACGTCGGGGTTTCAACGAGGTGTGCGAGGCGCTGATCAACAAGAATATCAGATTCAACATGAAGTTTCCTGCAATTTTGTGCCTGACACATGGAGGAATTCGCCGCTCATTTAGAAGCCCAGCTGAAGCACGTGAATATCTGACTATACTCAAGGATTAGTTTACACCTCTTGGATCAGATCTACATCTCTTATTTATGGATCTAGTCAATCTGAAGGGGGGTGTCTCTTCTGGTAAGGTAGGACCTGCTTTGCGTTACACATAATCTTCCATGAGTGAATCCTAAAATAGGAGGACCACCTTATCTTAACACTATGGAAAAAAAAAAATATTGCCTTCCCTCATGTAAAGGACAATGTGACTGACTCATGAAAGTACTCTAATTCCTGCTAATTAAAGTAGTCTATTATGTTAATGTGGATGGAAAGCCACTGATTTGTTATTTTGTTTGTTTGGTTGATTGAAATGCAAATATTGACTTAAGTTCACCTAGCCAACAATTTATCATAGAAGTTGTTTGAATGACGAAATGATGGGCGGGTGCTTGGAGCGCTCTTTTTGTTTTAGTTTTTTTTTGTTTTCTTGTTTATTCTTTAGTTACTTAAATGCCTTTCGTAAAAAGGTCTTTTTCTTTTATGGTCTTGTCTTGTATGTTTGTTCTGTTGTGGCCGCATATGTGTGTGTGTGTGTGTGTGTGTGTGTGTGTGTGTGTGCGTGTGTGTGCTTGTCTTTTTTTGTGAGTTTTGGGGAAAATGCTTCTTTTCTTTTTTTTATCTATGGGATTTAAAGATTTGACATATGATGGAGATGATATACATCACTGTATTGACGTTGAAAATAACATAACCTGCAGGTATTATGATCCTGAGCATGTAAAATGTTTGAATATAGCAAATAACTTCTCATTTCTGCACCTAAACATAAGAAGCTTGAATAAACACTACGATGAGCTTGTCTCCCTACTCCTAACTACTGAATGTTGCT